TTCACTTTTTTCCCTCAAGTTTGTACCTAATATATCCCAATTTTTATATTATAGTTTATTTCAAATCTCACATTTCGCTCCTCCCTTCTATTACTCCAATTTACTTTATTCCTTACTGTTCTTATGTTTGTTTTAAATTCTATTTTCTCCCTTGTTATGACTTTTTTTATTTTAGTGACTTTAGTTTCTATTGGCACTCTTAGAGTTTCTCCCCCCTCCAGCTTTTCAAAACCATTTTTGCTTGTTATTAGTCACCTCATATTCTTTTTCCCATTCTTAAAATATCATTATTCTCTCTCCACCTTTCTATATTTTAGCTTTTTAGTTGTGGATAGGGTGGCAGTTGTTGCATTTCTTCAATTTTATTTCTACATTGTCACCATTTTTGTATTTCAAATCTCAAGTTTTACCATTCCCCTCTCCCACTCCATCTTGCCTTCCTCCTGCCCATTCTTCTTTTTCTGGGGGGTGGTGGGGGTTTCTAAATGTTCATTTTTCTCTGTCTCATCATGGGTCTCATTAACTCTTAGCATTCCTTCTTCCTCTATCTTCTCAAAATCACTTCCCTTTCACATAAACATCTCTAAATATTTTTATTATTTTTCTCCTATCATTGCTATCCCACTTATGTCAATTTTAACTCATTTGTTGACCAGGCTAATCAAGAAAAAAAATAGAGAGGGTCCAAATAAATAAACTCAGAAAAGAAAGGGGAGAAATTACAACTGATACCACAGAAATATAAAGGATTGTAAGAAATTACTATAAACAACTATATGCCAAGAAATTTGAAAACCAGAGTGAAATGGACAAATTTATAACCTGAAAGAGTGCTAAAGGAAATTGAGGCAAGTAAAGTATCAGACATGGTGTTCAAAATAATGATTATAAGGATGTACTATGAGCCCAGTGAGAACTAGAAAATCATTAGGGAAGCTACAAGGAACAACTTCCTGGAAATGATACTAGCATGAAAAATGACATAGGAATATCAAAAATACCCAGCAGGAAATGAAAAATACAATATCTGAAATGAAGAACACAGTTGATAATTAAAATCAGGTAAATGAAGCAGAGGATTGAAGCAGTGAGCTGGAGAAGAAGGTAGAAAAAATTCCCAGAGAGAACAACAAAACAAAAAAAAGAGTAAAAAAGAATGAAGAGGGTATAAGGGAGCTCTAAGACAATATGATGCATAATAATATTCATATCTTAGGGATACTTAGAGAAGAAAAGGAGTAAGGTATAGAAAACCCGATTCAAAAAGTTATAACAGAAAACTTCCTTAAATTGATGAGATAAAATGTTATGCAAGTTCAGCAAAAACAGAGGTTCCCAAACAAGATAAACCCAAAGAGGCCTAGTTCAAGACACATCAAAATTAAAATGGCAAAATCCAAAGACAAAGAGAGAATTTAAAGGCAGCAAAGGAGAAATAGTGAAATACAAGAGAGCACTAATAAGTCTATCAGCTGGTTTCTGAACAGAAACCCTACAGAGAGAAAACAATGACAATAAATATTCTAAATAATGAAATGATAAATCCTGCAAACAGAGTACTCTATCCAGAAATATTCTCATTTAAAATAGAAGGTGAAATAAAGGGTATCCCAGATATAAAAAGATTAAAAAATAAATCTCTATCAAACAAGCATAGGAATATATGCTAAAGAGACTGCATTAAGAAGATGAAGAAAAAGATCAAGAGAGAGGAACATAGGTAAAAGGGGAAAATGGCAATGACTAAGTATCTACCAATAATAACAATAAAGGTAAATGGATTAAAGACCCCAATAAAAAGACATAAGGTAACTGAATGGATAAGAAAACATTATCTGCACATATGCTACCTAAAAGGTGTACCTCAGAACAAAAGACCTACACAGACTGAAAGTGAAGGTTTGGAAAAAATATTCCAAGCAAATGGACAGGGAAAAAAAAAAAAACTAGGATAGCAATACTTACATCATACAAAATACACTTCAAAAAAAAAAAAAAGGCCATAACAAGAGATACAGAAGGACACTTCATAATACTCAAGGGAGGAATCCAGAAGACATAAGCACCAAAACCAGATATAGACCCAACAAAGAAAGAAAACTAAAGGCCAATATCGCTGATTAACATGAACACTAAAATACTCAACAAAATATTGGCAAACCATATCAAGCAATACGTTAGCAAGATCATCCACCATGATAAAGTAGGATTCATCCCAGGGATGCAAGGATGGTTCAATATTCACAAGTCAATAAATGTAATACATCACATAAACAAATGGAAAGACAATCACCACATGATCATATCAATTGATGTGGGAAAAAGTATTTGATAACATTCAGCACCTATTTATGAGAAAAACACTAAGCAAAGTGGGAGTAAAGGGGGCATGCCTCAACATAATAAAGGCCATACATGAAAAACCTACAGCCAACTGCATACTTAATGGGAAAAAAAATAAAGCTTTCACACTAAGATCAGGAACAAGCCAAGGATGTCTGCTTTCACCACTTCTTTTTAAAATAGTATTGGGAGTCCTAGACACAGCAATCAGACAAGAAAAAGAAATAAAAGGCATCCCAATTGGAAAGAAGGAAGTAAAACTATCATTGTTTGCAGATGACATTGTTTGCAGATAGTGTACATAGAAAACCCCATAGACTCCAGCAAAAAACTACTTGATCTAATAAGTGAATTTGGCAAAACAGCAGGATACAAAATCAATATTCAGAAATAGAGGACATTTTTGTACACTAACAATGAAATATCAGAAGCAGAAATCAAGAAAAAAATCCTATTGGCTACAGCAACAAGAAAAATAAAGTACCTAGGAATAAACGTAACCAAGGAGGTGAAAGAAATGTATGCAGAACACTATGCAACATTAAAAAAAAAAAACTAAGGAATTCACAAATAAATGGAAGCATGTTTCATGTTCATGGATGGGAAGAATTATCATCATCAAAAATGTCCCTACTTCCCAAAGCAATTTATAGATTCAATGCAATCCCTATTAAAATACCAATAACGTATTTCACAGACATTTCAAAAATTTATATGGAACCATAAATAACCCTGAATAGCCGCAGCAATTTTGATAAAGAAAAACAAAGTAGGAGGGATCACAATACTGGACATCAAACTATATTATAAGGTCACAGTAATCCCAACAGTCTGGTACTGGCAGAAGAACAGACACAGATCATTGAAACAGAATAAAAAGCCCAGAAATAAATTCATGTCTCTATGGTCAATTAACATTTGACAAAGGGGGCGATAGAATAAATTGGAGCAAAAATAGCCTCTTCAACAAATGGTGTTGTGAGAGCTGGACAGCTATATACAAAAAAATTGAAACTTGATCGCCAACTGACACCATACACAAAGATAAACTCAAGATGGATAAAAGACTTAAATATAAGTCGAAAGAAACACAAAGTAAGAGGGATCACAATACCGGACATCAAACTCTACTACAAAGCCACTATACTCAAAACAATCTGGTACTGGCACAAGAACAGACACATAGATCAATGGAACAGAATAGAGAGCCCAGAAATAAACCCATGTCTCTATTTCAGCTAATATTTGACAAGGGGGGCAGAAGCATAAATTAGAGTAAAAATAGCCTCTTCAACAAATACTGTTGGAAGAGCTGGACTGCTACATAAAAAAAATTGGAATTTGACCACCAACTTCCACTATACACAAATATTAATTCAAGATAAATAAAAGGCTTAAATATAACTTACGACACCCTAAAAGTCCTAGAGGAGAACAAAGGCAGGAAACTCTCAGATATCCCACGCAGCAATATTTTCACCAATATGTCCCCTAGAACAAGGGACATAAAGAAAAAATTAAAAAAAATGGGACTTCATCAAACAGAAAGCTTCTGCATGGCTAAATAAAGCATCAGCAAAATGAAAAAGGAACCAACTGTACGGGAAAATATATTTGCCAATTATGCCTCAGACAGGGACTTGATCTCCAAAATATATAAAGAACTCACATGTCTCCACTCCAAGAAGACAAACAATCCAATTTAAAAAATGGGCAAAGGACCCAAACAGACATTTCTCAAGAAGGACATACACAGGGCTCAGAGACATATAAAAGGATTGTCCATCATCACTAGCCATCAGCAAAATGCAAATTAAAACCACAATGAGATACCACCTCACACCATTCAAAATGGCCATCATGTATAAATCAACAAACAAGTGCTGGCGAGGTTATGGAGAAAAGGGAACCCTCGTCCACTGTTGGTGGGAATGCAGACTGATGTAGACACTGTGGGAAAGAGCTAGGATTATACCCTAAGAATCCCAAAACACCATCTCAAAATAATCTACCCACCTCAGTGTTCATAGAAGCACAATTTAAAATAGCCAAGTGCTGGAAACAACCTAAGTGCCCATCAGTAAATGAGTGGATCAAAAAGCTATAATACATTTACACAATAGAGTACTATGCAGTAGAAAGAGAGAAAGAACTACTACCCTTCACAACATCATGGGTGGAACTGGAGAGCATTATGCTGAGTGAAATAAGCCAGACAGTGAAAGAGATATACCATATGATCTCACCTATAAGTGGAACCTAGTCAGTAAAGCAAGCAGGCAAGGAAAATAGGACCAGAACATTGAATGGTTGAAGGAACCATCAGGGACTGCACAGAGGGACAAAGGTGGGTAGCAGGGAGGGGGAGAGGAAGGGTCAGATCAAGGAACAGGTGTGAAGGTCACATAGATGAAGCCATAGTGGAGAAGGATTGAGCGTGGAATGTTGGGTTCAGTTGGGCTGGAGAAAGTGGTGGTCAGTAAATTGAGACAAATGTATTTGAAAAATGTTTTAAATAAATAAATAAATTTAAATAAAAATTTTTAAAAATTTAAAAAATAAAATATTTGTAAAATACCAAAAAAGAAAAAAAAAAGACATTTCATTCTAATAAACCATTGTGGTGGGCCCCATCCCACAGAGTCCTCCGATTCACCATGGTTGAAATGGTAAGTCATTACAGATACCAAGTGCTGTTAAGAAAAGGCAAAGGTGATTCCCTATAGTGGAGAATGTCCAAAGCCCTTCTCTGAAGTGGCTTTTATTGAGAACATTATGCACTGGGGTATACAGCATGTATGCAAAGCTTATCAACCAATGCCTAAAGGCTATATTTACAGAAAACAGATAGAGATCATGGATAACAATTGAGGGAAAACAGAGATTTGCCTCAGGTCAGGATCTGTAAGACATGCTGACTTCAGATGATTGTTAAGGTATGGCTCCTGAAGTTGGGAATTCACTCCTTCTGTTTGGATATTAAAAATCTGGATTTTCCCTTATCAGAGCAATGTAAAGCAGAGCGAGCTTCAGTGGATATAATGCATTCTTTAGGCCAGATTTCCTACGGGGACCCTAGGTGTTAGCATCAGATCATGTCTGCCTCCCAGCATTCCCAGTTTTCTGGCCAAGACTTACAGGCCTTTTTCAAGGCCTGGCTCACCTGGGGCTACAATTCCCAATACCACACAAAGTCCCTTGCAGCCATGGATTAAATAAATCTACTAACACATTATCTGCATGGGGAGAAAAGGCTAGCCAATCCCTCAGAGGAGAAGGGCCCTGATTTCCTTTTCCCTAGGCTTTTGTTGAGTTCAGCAGGTAAGGGAGCTCATGGCATGCACATATTGCTCATCAATCAATGTCACATAGTGTTGATCAAAGACGAATAGATATTGTTCAGAAGTAACAACTGCAATAACATAAGGGTCTCTTTAAATCAGGGTCTGTTACACAACATGATGTTAGGTGGTCAGGACAACCTTGTGCTTGGCAACTAAACATCCAGTGTATGTTAACTTGATTACATAGAAGACATTATTCTTAGCAGGACAGGCTTCAAAGGAAATAATGCATTATTTTTCTTCATGCCTGATATTCCTGGGCAGGGGTTGGGGGGCACCTGTGCCTGTATCAGTTTATGCCTGCCAGCCAACTTTCCTGGTTTTCCAGTCTTTCAAGAGAGCTCAGCAGCAGAAACAAGAATGGCTTGCGAAAGGACATGGGGAATACAGAGAAATCCCTAGTGAAAGAGACTTTTTTCAAGAAGTCAAAGAGAGTAAAAAAGTGGTTTGCCATTTCTACAGAGACTCCACATTCAGGTGTAAAATATTAGACAGACATTTGGTGATACTGTCCAAGAAACATCTGGAGACCAAATTTTTGAAGCTGAATGTGGAAAAGGCACCTTTCCTTTGTGAGAGACTAAGGATCAAAGTCATTCCCACACTAGCACTTGTAAAAGATGGAAAAACACAAGATTACGTCGTTGGATTTACTGACCTAGGAAATACAGATGACTTCACCACAGAAACATTAGAATGGAGGCTTGGTTGTTCTGATATTCTTAATTACAGTGGAAATTTAATGGAGCCACCATTTCAGAGCCAAAAGAAATTTGGAACAAACTTCACAAAGCTGGAAAAGAGAACAATCCGAGGAAAGAAATATGATTCGGACTCTGATGATGATTAGAGAGCAGTTATAATTGTTTGTAAATTGTCTTTATTTCTGCTTACTTTAGAATTAGATGTGTTTTATAAATTCTGTTGATTTTGATACATTGGTCATCTAATGGTCATATTCTAGTTTTATACAGTTGCATGACATTGAAAGACATCTTTAATATTTTCTTGTGGAGCTCATTTAAGTTGTGGAAAACTGCTAAGTTCTTAAATTATCTGGGTAGGGCCTGGATTCTCTTATTTTTATGATTGATTTTATCACTGGATTGGAAATAGAAATTCAATGAACTATTTCAGAATTACTACTCACGCATTATTTACTTTATACCACAGGTCAAGTAACATTTACTGGTGTAACACACTGCACTTCTAAATGATAAAAACTCTTGACTTCTGGAATATATTTACATAACTATTAAAGAACTGCTTATTTAAAAAAAAAAAGGTCTTTTTTTTTTTTGACTTATAGGTCAGACCTTGCTCACACAAGACTACAGTCTCCAATACCAAGCAGGACAGTTACTCACAGTGCCCAACAAGCCATTAGCCTAAAAACCACAAAAGGAAGACATAAACATTATAAATATATAGACACAAAACATAGGAGCACCCATATATATAAGGAAAATTGTGGAGGACTTCAAGAAAGAGATAGCAACATACTTAAACTAGGGGATTTTAACACCCCACTGTCAACAATGGATAGATATTCCACACAAAATATCAGCAAGGATATTGTGGCATCAAACAACACCTTAGCTCAAATGGATGTAATGTGTGTGTGTGTGTGTGTGTGTGTGTGTGTGTGTGTGTGTAACCTTTAATCCAAAGAAGCAAAATACACATTTTTTTTTCAAATGCACAAGGCACATTTTCAAAGATAGACCACATGGTAGGATACAAAACAAGCCTCACAAAATTCAACAAACTTGAAATCATATCAAGCATTTTCTTGGACCAAAGGGCTTGAAACTAGAAAACAACCTCAAGGAAAAAAATTAAAAAGAGCCAGTTCATGGAGACTAAATATCATGCTATTAAACAAAGAATGGGTTAGTAATGAGCTCAAGGAAGAAATCAATCAGTTTCTGGAAACAAATGAAAATGAACACACAACAGTCCAAAACCTATGGGACGGAGTGAAAGCAGTCCCAAGAGGAAAGTTTAGAGCAATACAGGCCTACCTACAAAAGATAGAAATATTTCAAATATATAACTAACCCTACACCTACAAGAACTGAAGGAACAATAAGAAATAAAACTCAGAGTGAGTAGAAAGAAGGAAATAATCAAGATCAAAGCAGAATTAAATGACATAAAGAATAAAAGAACAATTCAAATGATCAAGAAACCCAGGAGCTGGTTCTTTAAAAAGATAAACAAAATCTACAAGCCTTTAAGCAGATTCATCAAGAAAAAAAGAGAGGGAACCAAAATAAATAAAGCCAGAAATGAAAGAGGAGAGATTACAATACCACAGAAATACAAAGAATTTTAAGAAATTACTACAAACAACTATAGCCAAGAAATTTGAAAACCTGGGTGAGATGGACAATTTCTAGAAAACTATAATCTTCCAAAACTGAATGAAGATAAAAAAGAAAGCCTGAACAGACTGATAACAGCTGGTGAAATCAAAGCAGTAATCAAAAAACTCCTGGCATCCAAAAAAACCTGGAAGAGATGGTTTCATAGGACAATTTTACTGTTCATATTTTTTATTATCTTCTTTTTCTTAGGTAAGTCCCTTTAACATTTCATATAATAAATAAAGTCTTGATGATGATGAATTCCTTTAACTTGACCTTATCTGGAAAGCACTTTATCTGCCCTTCCATTCTAAGTGATAGCTTTGCTGGATAGAGTAATCTAGGTTGTAGGTCCTTGCCTTTCATGACTTTGAATACTTCTTTTCAGCATCTTCTTGCCTGCAAGATTTCTTTTGAGAAATCAGCTTGTAGTCTTATGGGAACTCCTTCATAGATAACTCTCTCCTTTTCTCTTGCTGCTTTTAAGATTCTCTCCTTATCTTTAATCTTGGGTAATGTAATTATCATGTGCCTCGGTATGTGCTTCCTTGAGTCCAACTTCTTTGGGACTCTCTGAGCTTCCTGGATCTCCTGGAAGTTTATTTCCTTTGCAGGTTGGGAAAATTCTCCTTTGTTATTTTTTCAAATAAGTTTTCAATTTTTTGCTCTTCCCCTTCCCCTTCTGGAACCACTATGATTCAGATGTTGGAACATTTAAAGTTGTCCCAGAGGTTCCTAAAGCTTCTCTCTCTCTCTCTCTTTTTTTTTTTTTAATTCTTGTTTCTTCATTCTGTTCTGGTTGAATGTTTATTTCTTCCTTGTGCTCCAAATCTTTGATTGAGTCCTTGTTTCCTTCCCTTCACTGTTGGTTCCCTGTATATTTTTCTTTATTTCATTTTGCATCGCCTTCACTTTTTGATCTATTTTGCAACCATACTCAATAATTTCTGTGAGCATCCTGATTACCAGTGTTTTGAAATCTACAGCTGATAGGTTAGTCATCTCTTCGTCACTTATATTTTTAGAGTTATATCTAGAGTTTAATAGTTATATTTTTAGAGTTTTGATCTTTTTTTTTCATTTGGATATTTCTTTGTCTCAGTGCATGTGTTACATTGTAAGGGGTGTAGCCTTAAGTATTCACCAAGGATGGGCCACACACAATGCTGTGTGGTGGCATTGTATGTGGGGGTGAGGTCAGAGAGAGAACAAAGTTGCTTGCTCAGATCTCAGCTTGCTTTCAGTCCCTTTCTCTTCTGTCCAAAGCAAATTGGGCATTTCTGGTGCTGATTCTCAGCTGGGTGGTTTTGTGTACATTCAGGGACCATATGGGTCTCTCCAACAAGCTCTCCTGTGATGCTGAGAGTTTCTCCTGCTACCACAAATTTTTACAGCCAGAGGTTTTGAGACTTTCTTTTACCATGCTGGAACTCTGAGTTGCTCATTATGTCTTGCTCCCCAGTTGTTCTTCCCAGTTTATCCTCACACAAATGTGGGATGGCCCAGGCCTCCAGCCACTGCCATGCTGCACATCTTCTCCATCCCAGCAACCCATCTCCACCCTTCCTACCATTCTTAATGAATGTTTATTCTTTACTCCTTGTTGTCAGAATTCCATACAATTATATTTTCTAGCAGTTATTGTTATTTTTTATTTTAATTTTGTTTTTTCCTTCTTTTGTTCATGTAAGGAGGCAAAGTGTATCTACCTATGCCTCCAACTCCTATGCCAAGAAATTTGACTACCTGGGTAAAGTGGGCATATAACAAGAAACATATAATCTTCCAAAACTTAATGAAGAATATGCAGAAAGCCATAATAAACAAAAAAAAACTAATACAATTGAAGCAGAACAAAAACAAAAAACACTACAAGAGCACAAAAGCCCTGAACCTGAGAGCTTCACAAGAGAATTTTACCAATCATTTAGAGAAGTTCTAACACCTGCCCTTCTCAGACTATTTCAAAAACTCCAAGAAGAGGGAAGATTTCCAAACTGTCTTTATGATGTCAGCATCATCCTGATCACCAAACCAGATAAAGACACAACAAAGAAAGAAAACTACAGGCCAATATCACTGATGAACATAGACACCAAAATCCTCAACAAAATATTGGCAAACAGCATCCAGCTCATACACCATGAACAAGTGGGGTTCATCCCAGGGATGCAGAGATGGTAAAATATTTGCAAATAAGTAAACATAACATATCACATAAACAGAAAGAAAGACAAAATCACATGATCATATCAATAGATGCAAAAACATTTAATAAGGTACTGCACCCATTTATGATAAAAAACACTCAGAAATGTGGGAGTAGAGGCAGCATACCTCAACCTAATAAAGGACATAGTGAATTTGGGACAGTGAAATACAAAGGCAATATTCAGAAATCAAAGATATTTTTAAAATTATTTTATTGTTCAAATGCATTTGTCTCCATTTACTTGCCACCACTTTCCCCTGTTCCACCCATCCTCACCACCCACCACCAATCCTTCCCCATTTTGGCTTTGTCCATGGGTCCTTTATACATGTTCCTTGAATTCACCCCTCCCCTCTTGTCGCCACTGCCTTCCTCCCTACTTCCCTCTTTTTACTATCAGTTTCTTTTTTTCTTTCAATGTTGCTGACTACATTCCCTTGCTTGTTTTGTTGGTTAGGTTCCACTTATAGGTGAGATCATACAGTATTTGTCTTTCACCCCCTGGATTATTTCACTTAGCATAATGCTCTCCAGTCCCAACCATATTGTTGCAAAGTATAGTAGTAGCTCTTTCATTCTGCTGTGTAATATTCCACTGTGTAAATGTATCATAGTTCTTTGATCCAATTTATTGAATTTATTAATTTATTGATGGGCACTTAGTTTATTTCCAGCACTTAGTTGTTATAGATTTTGCTGCTATGATCATTGGGGTGCAAAGGTTCTTTTGAATTCATGTTTCGGTGTTCTTAGGGTATAGTTCTAGCAGTGGAATCACTGGGTCAAAAGGCAGTTCCACTTTTAGCTTTCTGAGGAAATTCCCAACTGTTTCCCAGAGTGGCTGCACCAGTCTCCACTCCCACCGACAGTATACTAGGGTTCCCTTTGCTCCACAATTTTGCCAACACTTGTTCATTGATTTGTTTATAATGGTCCTTCTGACCAGTGTGGTGTCTCATTGTGGTTTTAATTTGCATTTTTCTGATGGCTAGTGATGCTGAACATTCTTTCATATGTCTCTGGGCCCTGTTTATGTCCTCCTCAGAGAAAGGTCTCTTTAGGTCCTTTGCCCATTTTTTTAACTGGATTGTTTGTTTTCCTGGGTGGAGTTGTATAAGTTCTTTATATATTTTGGAGATCAAACCCCTGTCTGAAGTATCATTGGTAAATACATTTTCTCATACATTTGGTTCTTTTTTCATTTTGCTGATGTTCTTTTGCCATGCATAAGCATCTAATTGTGATGAAGTTCCATTTGTTTATTCTTTTCTTTATGTCCCTTGTTTTAGCGTACATATTAGTGAAAATATTGGTGCATGGGTTATCTGATTTTCCTGTCTTTCTT